TTTTCCCTTGTCAATTGCTATTTTGAAGTACATTACCCTTTGCGGTAGGTGGTTTATTTTAATTTTACACTTCTATTTTATTTACTATATATTTCATATATTTGAAAGTTATAAAGATAAAATAAATAATGCTTCAATGAGTTGCCAACTGGAATTATTCGGTGCATTGTAGAGTCTAAAATGTATGTCAATGTTCAATTCAATTTAAAGTATACTGAGTTGCTGTAAGTCTTATTATATTAGAAATATTATAGATAAATTTATTTTGTACAAACTTGTCAAATATCATTCTCATTAGACAAATCATTCAACAGTTACAAGAGATATAATCAACAAACGCATGACACGTTATTGCAAAATTTTACTATTGCAAACCGCGTTGCCGTACTATAAATAGTACTCAAACATAACATTTCTAAAACTGGTATTTTGTTCTACAAAAACAATAGTGTTTTTTTCTTCCACGACCGTGTTCGTGTACAATAATAATTCCTCGTGTCACAATTAATCGTGCAGTATGCAATCTCTAAAAGTCTCGAAAAAAATCTTATTCTTAGATATTCTATCTTATTATTAACATGCATAATTGAGCAGAGACAAAAACTGGTATTATAATATTTAGAGTCGGTAATTTATATTGAAATCATTGCTGGAGGAGAAAAAGAAGAAAAGTAAATGAACTCGAAACATTTACGAGTACAGTAACTCCTTGATCTTAGAGAAAAACGTTTGTTTGGTGTTGAAATGCGATTTAGATATGATTTTGATATCAAGATATAGTGAACATTAATTTGTACACTTATAAATCTTATTATTAAACCCTGCAGCAACTCGATATACTTCAAAATCGTTTTTGCAGTAATTTCACTCGGTGCGCTTTTATCCACTTATTTATTATAATAATATATTTCTCTTATACTTTAACTTTAAACGGTTTGTCTAATGATAATGAAATATTTGACAAATATATACGGAACTAAATTGTTTATAATATTGTATAACATGATCGAGCTGTACAATAACTCGATATATTTTAAAATCGTGTTTGAAAACGCATATTATTTTTTCAGACATAAAAATATGCGCAAAGAACTCTTGTAACTTTCAAACGTTTGTCTAAAATAACATAAATATTCAAGATATTTGTTCAAATTTAAATAAACTTTAATATTGTCTAACATTATATTACTCTGCAGCAACTCGATATACTTTAAAATAGCAACGGAATAGAGAACTATACTGAACGTGAGTGTTATTTTAACTGCGGTTTACTCGTAGTTTTCCTTTGGACTTTTTCAGTTTTATCTTGTATAACTTTTAAAAAGTTTGTTAAAACTAAAAACAATATTTGGCAAATTTATACCAAATTAAATAATCTATAAAATTGTCTAATATTATAAAACTCAATAACAACTCGGTATACTTTAAAATAGCATCAGAACATGGAGAATTATGCTGAACGTGAGTAGTAATTTAAATCGGGGTTGACATGTAGTTTTGCCTTCGGACTTTTTTTTGTTTATATCTTGTAACTTCTAAAAGTTTTGTTAAAATTAAAGACAATAATAGACAATTTGTTCAAATTGAATGATTTATAAAATTGTTGAACATACTAAAAACCCCTACAGCAACTCCTATACTTTAAAATTAATTAAAAAGCAATTGGACGTAGAAAATTATACTGGGCGTTAGTTACTTATTTTTTGAATTCGGACATTTTTTGTTAAAACTCTTATACTTTTGAACAATTTGTTAAAACTAAATACAATATTGGACAAATTTATTCAAAATTAAATAGTTTATAATATTTTCTAACACTGTAACACTACAAGCAACTAATATACTTAAAAAAATATTTAAAATAAAACTTTATCTTTTCCCTACGTATGAACAAAGTGTATTCGTTATTACTTTATTAGGCAACTTCTTAATGCATTTGACTATTACATCTCTTGTAACTTTTGAAAATTTAATTAAAACTAAATTTAATATTGAACAAATTCGTTAAAAATTAAATAATTTATAATATTTTCTAATACTGTAAGACTGTATAGCAACTCGATACAGTTTAAAAATTAAATTGAAAATTGAACATTGATCTTGCAACTTTTTTATGCAATTGACTATTATATCTCTTGTAACTTCTAGAATTTTTATTAAAAATAAATACTATATTGGACAAATGTATTCGAATTTGCTAATAAACAATATTGTCTGACATTATGAGACTCTACAGCAACTCAGTATACTTTAAAATTAAATTGAAAACAGAAGATTGATTTTTACATCCTATAGGTTTGAGTCACCTTTAGAGGCATAACCAGCAATTTGTCTTTAGGCACGATTACACCAAAAACCAATTTATCAATCAATAGTACTTTGTAATTAATTTTTGTAATATTTCAATTCCAGATTGGACACAAAACCAAATTGGACATCATCTTCGAGAGAGAGAATAATAATGGCTTCAAATTTCTTAAGACAGTGTTAAAGTTCTTTTGCACTTATCTAAGTCGAGTTTCAAAAAGTGTAAATGTATATCACAAAAACTAGTAAAAGTTCTCAAATGTTGTTAAAACTATTCAATGTTTTAACAATAGCACTGTTGATAAATTTTGTAAATGTACAACAAGTCTTCGACAATGGATACTCTATGGAAAAAGAAACCCCAATATCGGTGGTAAGTAAAAATAGATTTTTTTTATATAAATTATATTTAAATTCAATGTCTAATTTTATTTATTTGCTTGAAGTCGTTGTTGTCCACCTCTGTCTGAGTATAAAAATAATATAACCAAAAATTATAATGAATTAACCGAAAGAATATCATTGCCATTCATTATTATTTCCTAAGACGACGGACAGACGACATTGAATTATTATGTCTAAATGTCTGTTATTTTGCGTTTGTTTCCGTCATTGTATACAATAGCCAAAATTTGTTATTTTTTGTGCAAAGAATTATAATTTAAAGTTTTCTTGAAGAAAAATAACAGAGGCCTTTGTTACAGTTTTAATTCTGCTTTTATTTCTGTCTAGTATTAAAATTTTAATGACGGTGTGTATAAATAAATATTTATATTGGATTTGCAAATTACACTTTCGAAATTAAAATTTTAAATTGTCTAATATTTTGACTTTAATTTGTTTCATTTTATTTTTGCACCTTCAGCATTTTAATTCCTCATTAATTCTATGACATCAACTTTGTCTCCATTAAGACAATATTATAATTTTAAAATCTCCATTAAAATTATTCTAATTTTTGGTTTCTAATAAATCAAGGGCCTCGGAAATAAATCAAGTAATTTCAAAACGAATTTATAAACGAATTAAATTAAACGGGGTCACGCAAACCAAAAAAAAAAAAAATATAGAGGCAGAACTCGTTTTAAATACCTTGTAACAATAAAATGGAACTCTATTGACGTCAATTAGAGAGAAATTGAATTAAAAAAAGTAAGAATTTTGGCAATACTTGTCTAAAAAAATATCTGAATTACATCATCAGAGATTGAACTACGATACACCAAAATTTGTAATAAAAAATTTTTATAAAAATCAAGTCAGGTGAAAGTGAAGGGTACGTTTCAAACTCTCATTGCACCCATCGTCACTGAACGAATTATTTAGAAAAAATTCCTAACATTGAATATTTTTATAACTTTAAAAAATTATCAATATTTTATATCTTTCTTTATCCACATAGAAGCAACAAAGTTTCTGAAAAATTATTAAGTGTAACAAACGTTTTGAGCCCTCATTCATCCATATTTAGTGAAAATATCTTTGAAAAAATCACATGTTTGAAACATTTTAATATTTTCATAACTTGATAAATAAATAGATAAATAAAATATATGAATAAATAACTTTCAAAAAATATCAGTATTTTTCCGCATTTAAAATATATCAAAATCACAAATAATTTTTCAAAAGTGAACTGATTTCAAAACCATCAACTTGTTTTAAAAAGTCTTAATTAATTATCGCCCTCAGGATGGTGAAAATATAGGGTTGTGTGTATTTATTAATTCCGCATTATAAAAATATAAAGTAAAAAAAAATGATCCAAAAAGTAGTTTTAGAGATGGACAACCCCCAATAACAAATAAATTGTATTTTGAAAAGAAAGAAAGTATTAATCGAAATTCCCTAAAAAAATGATTGAATTACTAAAATTAATATATATAAATGTTTGTGGCTGGAGGTAAAACTTTAGGGTTGTATAAAGGAAAATTTAACATTTTAATAGTTGAAAAAAATATCAATATATATTCTTTCATACTTAAAATATATCAAAATCACTAATAATTTTTAAAAATAAACTGATTCTCAAAAGCATCAAATTGTTTAAAATTTAAAAAAATCAAATTAATTATTGGTCTCAGAAGGGTGAAATTTGGGTTGTGTGTATTTTTCAATTCCGCATTATAAAATACAAGTAAAGAGATGGATAACCCTCAATAACAATAAATTGTATTTTGAAAAAAAAAGAAAGTATTAATCGAAATTCCCTAAACAAATGATTGAATACTAAATTATATATATAAATATTTGTGCTGGAGGTGAAAATTTAGGCGCGAAGAAAAATAATGTGTTTAAAAAATTCTATATTAGAAAATCTGTATATTGTTGTGCGTTATGTTTTTTCTAAAAAAATGTTAATGTATATATGTCGCGATATGAACTTGGTTAAACATTTGAATTCACCGTAAAATCGTTAAACCATTTAGAATTGTCACAAGGAAGAACCAGTATCGGCAGTCGCAACTTGCCTGAAGGCAAAGTGTCCCATACACTACTAGTTCCTTTTCATCACTAAATATATAACTATGTTAAATAATTAATTAATGAATTCTACTATAATCAAACCATAACGCAATGTTATATATATACATTCTACGACACTATCACTTTTTTTTCAAATGGGAATCGACCTTGAATTTCTTCATATATATGTAAATATATATATATATTATATATAATATATATATATATAAATGTCTATATACATGTAAATGTGTATATATTATTTTATTTTTGCATAAATTACGGTTTATTACACGCGCTCGTATACTGGAAACGGTAATGTCTCACCTAAACAACATGTTTGTATGAAAAAAAATGAAAAGTTAATGAACTGCCTCAATTCTAACCTATTTTGGAGGCACGTTTGTGATGAGGATGAATTTGGATGAATCTGATTTCAGAGATGCTTCAGGAAGAAAAAGGACATTTGCTGGTCAAATGTGATCTTCATAATTATTATTATTAAATCATATCGAATAGAATTACTAGAATTGGCAAATAGGTAGACAGGTAGATAGTCAGGTATACATGTAGACAAGTAGCAAGTAAACAGGCAATTTGGTAGAAAAGTGGAAATGGATATAGGTAGACAATTAGGCTAGCATTGGGATAGGCAGGTATGCAGGTAGGCTGGTAAACAATTAGACAGTTAAGCAGATGATAGTTCCTCAGGTAGATAGATAAACGATAGACAAGTATAGAGGTAAACAGGTAAACAAAAAAAACTGGTTAACCAGGTAGATAGAGAAATAGTAGATAGGTGAACAGGTAGAGAAGTAAAAATGAAGACATATAGGCAGGTAGACAGGTAGACATGTAGTGCGTCCTATATAAACCAAAAAATATTTTTGAATCAGCAACATGCCTTGAGGCAAAATGCCACTTACACCCAGTTTAATGGGTGTAAAATGTTTAAAATGAGCTACGAATAATTATAAGTACCAATTTATGAATGAATCAACTGAATAATGTAAAACAATACAATCGACATTTTATAATAAATGCATAAATGAATTAATTTGCTATAATAAATTTGCAATAAGTAGAATGAATTCATGTAATTAATTGTATAAAATTTGTTCATTAGTATAATTATGCAGTTTAAAACTTAAATCGGTATTTTATCATAGGAATTTGGTTATCTAACCACAATTATTTAAACGTTTAAAACTGCATAAACAAATCGTTAAAATTGTAACAAATACCATTAATATAAATGCATACAAATATGTAAATAATAACGATAAAAATAATAGGTACTTACCGAATAATTTGCAGAATAAATAAATAACTGTTTAACACTTTTTATTACCCCTTTTTTGCCATTTTGTCAAAATGGTTGACAGTTTGGCGTTTAAAAATTTTATTAACACTCTAGCGCAAAAAATAACATGTTCATAAAAATTATAACTGTTGCAGTTATTTATACAGTTTTATTGGTGTTTTAATAATAATTTGGAGTTTATACACGCAATAAAAATGTATAATTAACACTTTTCAAAAAAAATTGTTTTTGATTTGACACATAACACACGAAGGAACACGATGGAAAACTTTCAATGATGCCAACTACGGAAAAATTAAACCGCGATAAAAAATTATTTATGAAATAAATTATTTTATTACAATATGAATATTAGATATTTAATATAATAAAAAAATAATCGTATAAATATTTTAGTATATAATTAATTAATAATTATTTTTTATAATTTAATTGCAAGCCTTTAATTAAATTAATTTCAAACTTCGGCGCTATATTAACGGCTAACTTAACGCCAAATAACGGTCGTTAAATTTAAACTAATTTGCAAAGTAGGAAACGTATTTGAAAGTATATTATATTTTTACTATTATATTTACTAAACTATTTGTTTTAAATTATAATTTATTATTTATTATATTATTTGCTAAAATATTCAAAAAAGGCGCGGTACATTTTTATGGGTTATGTTAACCCTAACTGACAGCTAATTTATTAACTTCCCGAAGGAGATGTTTGGTTTATTATATTTTTTGCTACAATTTAAATAAAATATTGGGTAACTTTGTGTGAATTAAATTAAGTAAAGCGTTATCTAATATTTTAATAATGTTTAGAAATAGCATATCAATCCGTTCCTTTGGTAAGTGCTTTTATTTATGAATGTTACTGTTAAAAATTTTATAACTATTTGTAGAATTTTTAAAAAATGTATTTACTTGAATTACTATATTTACGTTACTGCTAGTGTATTCACTAAACTTTTATATTTATACTATACACTAATATTTGTTATATTTACTAAATTATTTGCAAAAATATTCATTCAAGTCCGTTAAAATTTAGGGGTTATGTTAACTTTTACTGCCAATTAATTTATTTATTAATTTTCTTAATAGTTACAATAGAAAATACCAAATTTGCTATTTAATAATTTTGCATAATCATATAAATGTATCTACATGATGAGTCATTTATGATGTTTGTTCATTTATGAGTACACCAAATTGCTTACGATTTGCATACTCATTATATTACTTTATGATTACACATATCTAGATAAAGTTGATCATCTGTTATATTTTTATTTAGGAGGACTTAATTCTGCAGCAGCGTTATCCCTTAGAAGTGCACACGACCAGAACCAAAGATGGATACTTCTTGAAGATGCACAGGATATCACATTCGAAACGTTCTCCTGAGCGAGGAAACAAGCCTGCTGTTTTACTGATGCATGGTTTGATGTTGAGTTCGGCTGATTGGGTCCTCATGGGGGCTGAGAAAGGACTAGGTAAAAGAAATCGTAATATATTATAAATAAACTAATTTATAGTAAAATAGAATATAATGAAGAAAATGTAATTAATAAATTATAGATAGTTACATACAGTATAGAGAAATAGAAGTAAGGCTGTTATTTTTATATAAAGAGTTTATAAATAATATAATTTATGTTTTTATTTATTATACCTCTTGTAATTCTTGAACCGTTCTTCTAATATAAATGAAATCTTTGATAAATTTTGTACAAGATTCATAATTTATAATATTTTTTGTTATAACTAAATTTCAGTTATGTTTTCATGTTGAAATTACTCTATACACCACTATTTTTTTTTATATTTTTGATTTAATATGAAAAATTGTAAATACAAGAATCAAATATGTTTTTTTCATTAGAATCTTATATCAGTTTATTATTGTCTATTAGAATCTTATTGCTAAAAATACAGAAAGTTGTTATCCATACATTTTATCAAAATTAATTGTATCAAAATGCCCCTTACATCTAGTTTTTTTGTATATCTCAGGTTACATTCTTGCGGATGCCGGATATGATGTCTGGATGGGAAATGCAAGAGGAAATATACATTCGAGGGAGCACGAAGTGTACAATCCAAATGCTCCTGAATATTGGCAATTTAGGTAACTTATTGGTAATAGATTTTGCCAGAATATATATATATATATATATATATATATATATATATAAGTAGCATTTTGCCTTCAGGCAAGTTGCACCAAAGAATCGAATTGATCAATTCCAATTGGGATCTTACTTTATGATTCTCAATGACTATATACAATATATATTTAATAGACATTATTTTTATCCAATGATTTTTTCCCCAGTTGGCACGAAATGGGGGTCTACGATCTTCCTGCAATGATTGATCACATTCTTAACGTAACTGGAGAAACAGGAGTCCACTACGTAGGGTACTCTCAGGGTAAATGGATATAATTTTCTCAATTAGTTTTTATTATTTATTTCTTTATTTATTTATTTATTTATTTATTCATTCAACGCCCAAGGCAATAATACAATATAGTTACATTTTGAAGTGTACAAATTATAAAACTAAAGAGATAATATGTGAGAAAATTAGAGTATTAGGAGAGTTTATAGATAGCTTTGTATATATACATAACATTTAATATAAACTACAAATATATAACATTAAATAAGAACTAATAAAACTAAACATTTAATAAACTATAAATTACTGCTTAAGATAGTCTTTTAAGGATAATTTTTCTGGCTTGATTTTTTATATTTGTCACCGACAGACCAAAGATATCAATCTCAGAAGCAAATTATAATAGTTATTTCATTTTAATGCACTTTTATAATACATTATCAATTTTGGAAGAATGTCCTAGAGTAATTCTTTTAATTTGGTGAATTCAGAATCCTTTCCTGATAAAAATTATTCCAATCCGGTGAAAAACCTTAAATGTTTTCTATAAATATATTAATTTTTCAGTATCAGAAGATTTTTACAAACCCTTAGCACTCTTTCCACTGCTTCCTATAAAAAAAAGTTCAAGTTTTAGAATCCTGCCTAGATTTTCCTATAAAATTTATTAAAATATGGTAAATTTTTATAAGTCTTGGCATCTTTTTGTTTGTATTTATTTCTCTATTTTTGTCAAATAATAAACCTTCCGATTTAGTTAATTTTTACAACCCTTATCCCTTCCAGGTTGTCCTGTTTCATCCTTGTATAATATACAACCTGAAAATTACCAAAAGTCTTAACATATTTTTCATATTTATAAATTTTTTTACCACTTTAGTATATTTCTACTATCTTCTTCAGGTTGTACTGTATTTTTTGTAATGGGTGCAGAGCGTCCTGAATACAACAAAAAAATTAGATCCATGCAAGCCTTAGGACCTGCAGCCTTTTTATCCAACACCACCAGTCCGGTGATAAGATTTAGTTTACCGATGATGGACACCTTGGAAGTAAGTAAAAGGATATAAAATAATCAATATAAATTCTGGTGTTTTTTTATTAACTGTTTTGCTTTTTTAGTGGGCATCAGATTGGTTAGGAATGCACGAATTTATGCCAAACTGGGCAATGAAATTCATTTCAACGATGGGTAAGATGTTCTGCGATGACCAGTCCTTGACACAGGATCTTTGCTTGCAAGTGTTCTTCTCTTCGGGAGCCTTTACTTCCAAACATTTAAATTCAGTAAGAAAAAATAAAACATTAAATATTAATAATATTAATATGCACAATGAAATAATAATACTTATAATATGATTTTCATTTTTTTTTTAGACAATGTTACCAAAAATTTTATCATATATGCCTGCTGGTGCTTCTGTGAGGCAAATGTTGCATTTTGGACAAGCCATAAGGACAGGTATGAATTTTTGAAGTAGAACTTTTTTATGCAGTATTGACAAAGATTTTAGTTTGATAGATATTTTTATTTTAATTATAAAAAAAATTAAATTTAATAGAAATATTTACAATTGGTGTATATATTTAGAGCATTTTTTTACTTATCTTCTTACAACTTGAAAATTTTGTTCCGGATATGTTGATTTATTTACTTTAATAAAAACTAGATGAAATTTACTAAAATATAGTATAAGTTGTTATATTTACTTGCATAATAAAATTTTGAGTAAATTTAATTCAAATGCAGAATTTTATATTTTAAAGTTTAGTGGGGTTTAGGACATTTTTTTAGATTTTGCTAAATATTTTGGAAATTTTGTTCCGGACACTTATATATATATTTATATTAGCATAAATTAAATAAAATGTACTAAAATTTAGTACAAATTGTTATATATACTCCAATACTGAAATTTTGAGTATATTTAGTCGAAACGCGCATTTGTATATTCTCCTAACTAGTGATATAAGAATTTTGGACATTTTTTTAGATTTCTGTTAATAACTTGGAAATTTTGTTTCGGACATTTATATATTAGGTTGTCAAATATCTCCCTTCCGCTTTTTTGCTCTTGGTTTATAATACAAAAAGGCGGAAGGGAGATATTTGACAACCTATTATATTTATATTAGCATAAACCAGATAAAATGTACTAAAATTTAGTATAAATTGTTACATATACTTCAATACTGAAATTTTGAGTAAATTGAGTCTAAATGCGCTCTTGTACTTGTAATTCTCCTAATTATATATAATTGGCAATATGAGGATTTAGGACATTTTTTTAGATTCAGTTAAATATTTTCGAAATTTTATTCCGGACATATTTATTTATTTACATTAGTAAAAAGTAGATAAAATTTATCAAAATTCAGTATAAATTGTTATATATGCTTGCATATTGAAATTTTGAGTAAATTTAATTGAAACTCGGAATTATATATTCTGATAGTGCTCTGGGATTCAGGACATTTTTTTAGATTTTGCTAAATATTTTCGAAATTTTCTTCTGGACATATTTATTTATTTACATTACTAAAAACTAGATATAATTTACTAAAAGATAGTACAAATTGTTATATATATATATATTCTAATATCAAAATTTTGAGTAAATTTAGTCAAAACATGTATTTGTATATTCTCCTAACTAGCGATATAAGAATTTTGACCATTTTTTTGGATTTCTGGAAATAACTTAAAAATTTTGTTTCAGTTCAGTTTATTCACATTAGTAAAAACTATTATTATAGATAAATTTAGCCAGCTAATGTTATAAGATTATTGGACATTTTTTCAAATATTTTGGAAATTTTGTTCCGGACATGTTAATTTATTTGCATTAATGAAAAGTAGATAAACTTTACTATAGTTTAGTACAAATCATTATATATACTTACATATTAAAATTTTGAATAAATTTAATCAAAACATCAACATGTATATTCAGCCTGTTAGTATTATAAAACTTGAGAATATTTTTTCAGATTTTTTCAAATAACTTAAAAAATTTAATCCGGGCATGGTAATTTATTTACATCATTAAAAAGTAAATAAAATTTACTAAAATTTAGTATAAAATATTATATATACTTACATACAAAAAATTTTAATAAATTTAGATGAATTAGTTTTTATAACATACCACACACAGTACAAAATTTATGTCTTTTAGTTAATTTTAGTTCACAGCATATAATACTTTTAGTTCGTTCTCAATAATAATAATAATTTTATTATTTCCAGGAACCTTTAGGCAGTTCGACTATGGTCAATCAAGAAATCTGGAAGCATACGGCCAATTACATCCTCCAGAATACGATTTGGCCAAAGTTACGGCCCCTGTGGCCCTTCATTGGAGCCCTAACGACGACTTCACAATGTTAACAGTAAGTAATATAACTAAATTTATAAATAATATAACTGAACTTATAAATTAAATACTAATTCATAAATTTTACAACATCATCAATTACCATCTTATTTTTTTCAGGATGTCCAGATCCTCGGTGACCGTCTGAGCAACCTGATAGGGTACTTTGAGGTTCCTGATCCCTTTTTTACCCATTTTGACTTTTTGTGGTCGAATCGGGTGCATGAACTGGTCTACAAGAGGATCATTGAGATCATTCGCCAGTATTAGATTTTAAGGGAGGATAATGACAGGGCATTAAATTAAAAAATTAAATAGACCAATCTGTTGCACTGATCTTCTGGAAGATAAAGGATAATTTAAATAAAAACAAATAGTTCTAGTTATATAAAATATTAGACAAAGTTGTTACAAATTTAATAATTCATAATATTGTCTAATATTATAATGCCCTAGAACAATTCAAATTGGAATTTGTATAAAAGGTGTTTATAAAATGGGTTTTAATTTGATAAAATGACTTGTTTTGATAAATCTCTCGAATTAATAATAATTATTAATTATTATTTATAATAATAATTATTATTGTAATTAATTATTATTTTTATCGGGATAAATATGTTGTTCATAATTTTTTTTCAGGAAGGTCAGTGCAAAGTTAGACGTTAAGGAATAAACGCTTTAATATGTGATAATTAAAATGTGAATAATGTTAATTTAATTAACAATAAACAAGCGAAAATATTCCAAAAAATTAGACATTTTTAAAAATAATTAAATTTTGAATAAGGACTCGTTAATTTCTTACTTATTTTTAACAAAACTTTCGCAAAATATTTATGAAAATACATTGATAGTAAATAGATAGTTTTTTTTCCAACTAGATAATTATACTTTTTTCATTTTTTTCTAAATTGTTTTTAAAGACATAAATTTTGTTGGAATTTACTATAAACAAATAATTATGCTATCTAGACTATTCTGGATAAATTTAATTGAAGCGCAGAATTGTATATTCTGATAGCACTATGGGATTTAAGACATTTTTTCAGATTTTGCTAAATCTTTTGGAAATTTTGTTCCAGACATATTTATTTATTTACATTAGTAAAAACAAGATAAAATTTACTAAAATTTAGTATAAGTTGTTATATATACTTGCTTATTAAAATTTTGAGTAAATTTAATTGAAACTCGCAATTATATATTCTGATATCTAGACTATTTATTTATTTACTATTAAAACAAAATTTCATTTTAATTTTAAGAAGCGTTTTGTAAACTCAGAAAATGTAAAAATGTTCATCCCGTGTTTTTCAATCTTTTAAGAATTAACAAGTCCTTTTATCAAAATTGTTAATTATTTTATGAACTCATAAGTTATTTAATAATAATTACTATTAAGTTAAAATGTGATGAGATTAGTTAGTTAGTTGTTATTAATATTATTATTGATGGATTGTTAAATAAAGTTTTGTATTTTTATATGAAAAATACTTTTGTATCAAGAATCTTGATGTGTATATATATATATATATATATATATATATATATATATATATATATATAGTTGAAAACTAAAAAGGTTTTTGAGCAGCGCTCTATCCTATAAAAATAAATTATCTTTCTAAAAAACATTTTTAATAGACTTTTATGTGTTTCGAGTCCCAATTGTATAGTGGATAAAACTATAAATAATAATATAACATAAAAAATAATGTACTAAATACTAAATACTACATTTTTTATAATACAAATTATCGACAAAAATATTATAAAGTAAAGCAAATCTAAAGCTAACGATTTTTTAACAACTAATGTGATGTAAATATAAATTTTATTATTAGATTTGTTTTACTTTATAATATTTTTATTGATAATTTTTATTATATAAAATTCAGTATTTAGTAATTATTACATTATTTCTTATATTATTATTTGTATTTTTATCCTAATTGATTTTATCAAATTGAGCCTCGAAAACATATGGAAGTGTATTAAAAGTGTTTAAAATATAATTTAATTTTGTTTCTGAATAGATGTCTGCTGAAAAATCCTTTTTCAATTAACCATCTTAATATATATATATATATATATATATATATATATAATTTCTCTTTATATACGTATACTGGTTTATACATATATTAAAATGAGATAAATATATTGTAAACCTTTAAATTGACGATCAAAACTTTTACTTTGTTGAAGTAAATTTATAAGTAACTGAATTTTGGAGAATAAAAGACATTTGTGAACGGGGGAATAAAATATTTTATTTGATTATTAATTTATATATATATATATATATATATATATATATTTTGAAAAGAAGTTTAACAGCCCTTGTTATACGTTTCGACAATTGATTTGTGTCATCATTCAGTAAACAAGTATAAAAAATCATTGAAAACCGTATATATAAAATGTATTTAAAAAATATAAATAAAAATATAAATAACAAAATATATATAAACATACCACAGGGTGAAAAGCAATTAAACTTATACATCTTAATAAAATATATTTATTTTTAAAATAAACGGAAATTTAACACCACAACAAAATTATAAGAAAGAGAAGAATTCTATTATTTAAATTCATCATGGAGCATGGAGCATTTGTTATTTATTATGTATATATATTTTTTATATATTTTTTTATATTCTGTTTTCTATTACTTATATATCTGTATATCAGAGTACTCAATGATGACACACATCAAGTGTAGGAACGTATAAAATGAAGAAAATATTTTTTTTACTTATAAGAAAAAACTATCAAGATATATTTATTTATTTATTTATTTTCAGTACACAATGCTTTCAATTTATATGCATCGAAGTATAAAATCAAAAGGTCTGTTTTTTTTTAATTATTTTTTTTGTTTCATATATTTATTTAATAATTCTAATTAATTATTTTCAGTTTATTAATATATACATACATTAATATGTACATATTAATGCAAATATATAAAAATCCAATAAGGTTCCCATATTACTTCTTTTATAAATTTGATTCAAACTCGAAACAGTCTTTCTCTTATATAATTATAATATGATTCCAGTTGGATTTTGCTAAGAATTTAGTTCTCTTTGTAGCGACCAAGTATTAGGGTAGCAGCAGCGTCTATGGAAAGACATATATTTATTATATATGTGTGTGTATTGTGTAGTGATAGTAAATACATGAATAAATCTATTAAGGAATCCATCGACATGGTAGACATATATAAAGTGTAAAGTGTAAAGAGATTGATTTTGCGAACATTTTGGTATTACGTGATCCATTCTACTAGGAGCGCAGACGCCTCTTCGTCGATTGTGAGGTAAGATTTTAAATATATTAAGGAGTCCATACACTGCATAATAAATACAAAGGGTGTGTAGATAGTTAGGATTTTATTGTTGATAAATAATGATTACTTTGACTTGTGTTTTGATTAATTAATTGAAAAAGGAAATATAAATATAATAGAGACTGTTTTTGGAAGTATGGATATACAGAAGTTGTAAAATGCGTAAAGTTCTCGTGAATTTTGTTAGAGAAAGTATATATTGTTATACATCAGTTTATAGTAAATTTTATTGGTTATATAACCGTATCATTTGTTTAGTACACTTTCATAAAATTTTTCTGTGCAAAATTTAATTCAATCGTGCGTAAAATGCTGATCTACATTTTTATGCTAAATTTCTCATAAATTTTGTTAAATAATGTATATATATTATTATATATCATTTGGTTGAACATTTTATTGTTTATTTAACGCCCTTAACTATTTTTTAACTTTCATATAAATTTTCTTTGCTTTCCACGACTTCTGATTTTAGACTGATCAGATATATAAAGATTTTATACTGACTGATAATATAAAGTATGAAATAATAGATTGCATTTGAATTGAATTGTAATATTAAATGTGTCTCAAAGCATTTGTTAAACTTTTTTAATTGATATTCGAGTCGAGACACATGATGAGTGTTAGAAATCTTCTGCAAGATTTATGTACGATATATGTTTGTTGATTATAAATTAATGTCTAAAATGACTTGAATAAATATATTTATATTTATATTGTTGATAATAATTTAACATCCACGTTTAAAAAATCGATCTATAGTGTTTTTTATATATATTACTGGAATTTATAAATGAAATACAATGAATAAAGTTTAAATAAATTATATTTGAAAAGAATTGTATATGGTAATACCATCAACTTTGATTTACATGAGGCAACACTACTGCTGCAGTAATATTTTTGTAGTGAAATTAACTATTAGCATTTAATATAATTTTAAAATTCTAACAGTTCATATTGATAGTAACTTTTATCAGTAAAACAGTATCATTTTGCTTTAAAAATAGAGTTTAGTTTACTAAATAAGTTCTTCGTGTGTTTAAATTGTATTAAATAATATTTATATATTCAGAATGTTATAAAAGCTGATGACTTTTATTAATTTAAGTAAAACATTGTGGAATTTATTATTGCTTAGGTTACATATTTAAAAAGGTAATAAATTGAAAAAATAAATACAAATTTATCAATTAAATTAAAAACAAAGTTGTAAGCTTACAAGTGGCTGTTTTGATAGTCCTATTTGATAATAATAGACAAATTTTATAAAAAGAATGTGTATTATAAATATAATTTTCAATCACTCAAAATTTACATACAAGACCTAATAATTTAAATATAAAACTGTCAATTTTGTATATACAAACAATTTTGATAAGATACATATATCTATAACATTTTAAACAATTTCATCTTTCTCCTCATCCTTTTTCTCTTCCTCAACTTTTCCTTCCCCGCTTCCATCAGCATTGGCAGCAGAATCCTCAGAAACCTTCTTCAAACCATCAGCGTATTGGAACTCTGGACTGTTTTCATATTCGCACATATCTAAAGCAATCTCACAGCTTTCCTTAACAACTCGCTTTTCATCCTTAACAAACTTATTCAAGATCTCCATGCATTCGTCATTGGCGATTGCACCTAGTGCTTCTGCACATTCGTGGCGCACCATTTCATTTTCTGCAGGGTCTTCTAGGGATGTTTTGAGACAGGGGACGCTCAGAGGATTTTGCAATTGGCCGAGGACGAAGGCGATTTCGTGACGGAATAAAGCACTTTTAGCCTTCAAACCTAAAAGGAAATTATTAGATATTGATGGAGGAATGTATGTGAATAAGCACTGTCCTACCTTCTCCTAAAGCTAGTATACTGTCTTCGGTCCGCAAATTTCTCAAAGTAAACATGGCTCTATACCGGTTGAATAATGTCTCAGATTCATCCAGTAATGTCTTTTTTAAAGCCTCAACATCCTTTTCAGTATCACACGGACTTGGGTCTACGGAGGAATAAATGTTTTTGGACAGATCTTTGTTATTATCTTCATTTTCAAGCCACTTGAGCCTATCTAACGCTATTTGGCATGTTTCTGAAACCTCGATTATTGGGTCGTCTAAGTACTTTTCTAAGATTTCTTTTACTTCTGGGGAACCTATTGCACCTAATGCCTCACCTGAGGAAATAAAAATCATGTACACTGTGCCTGTATCTAGGTGTATTATTTCTTACCGGCTTCGTGTCTGACCATAGGTTCTTGTGCAGTATCTTCCAGAACCTTCACCAAATAAGGTATAGCCTTTTCATCCTGCATTTGTCCCAAACAATACGCCAATTCATGTTTCAAGAGCGCCGACTCATCTGCAAAAGCCTCATTGATACACTCCAATGAGATTTCTCCTCCAATGTTCTTCAATGTAAACAATGCTCTGAATCTTTCCTTCAAAGGGCGCTCCTTGTTGCACAAAATTTTACCGATATTTCTAATACTTTCTGCCTCGACAATCATTTTTAATTATTTGTGCAAATGTTAACCTCGAATATAATTGACACTTGTTGTAAACACGAGGCGATGACAGATTTGAATTGCGTGAAGTTGGTTGTACGATATTTTTATAATTCAGCGCGAGATTCAAAATCGTTTTTTCGGAGCGCGTTTTTAACTATTCAGTGCTGAAATTGAGTTTCATTTGTTTATATGGATTGAAAAACAATGAAAAATGATTGTTTGTCGTAGGCTTTGTAAAATTATTTTGTTCTTGCTTGTGCTATAGTAAGCTGTGACAATAAAATCAAATGAAAATATAAAACAAACATTTCATGTGTTTAAAAAAGTATAAAGTGCTTATCACAATTTTTTGTTTATAACTTTGAATAAATGTAAGTAACAACATTAGCTGATATTCAGTCGTTATAGATTATATTTATTATATATACAACATTAATTTTTTGTATGGAAATCATTTACTAGTGACTTTAATTATATAAAAGTAAAACAACCCTACATTTTTTAAAAAAATCTGCTTACAATAAGACTATTGTTCCATATAAAAACCTGAATATTTAACATCTAACTATTCTCTAATTTGAACTATCTCTTTTGCCTTTTTGCCTCATTTTTATATTTCAAAATTGCGTTGCCCCCAACAGTCTTCTCGAGTTCTCAAAGCTTAGCCAGAATGTTAAAGACCATGGTGCCATTCTTATCCACACCGGCAAAAAACCTCAAAAATAAGACAAATTAATAATGAATCATATATTAAGGTTTAAAACATCCTTACCTTTGTACAAAGCAAAAAATCCTTCTTTAGAAACAGTTTGCCTCAAACAGTCTATTGAGTTCTTGTAAAGAAGTCCACTAAAACAATTAACATCGTTAAAACCAAACATAAAATATATATTTCACACATTGATGTAAAGAATTATGACTATGATAAATTGTTATTTTATGAAATGTGTGTACGAACAACATTCGGTGACATAACTGCCTCACTTTCCATGTGCGTCTGTAGGCTGGTTCATGACTCTAGTTTTAACAACGTCTGCTGGTGTTCCCGCACAAGCAGCAACCAGTCCTGAACAAATGCTACTGAATATATGGACTGTGTGTGAATCTGGTAGATCCGTGTTCATTAATAGTGTTCTTTTTACCGAATCATATGTAGTTAAATCACCTAGGTAATAAAGAAGTAATAATGATTTTATTGTATAATTATATATATATATATATATATATATATATATATTTATATATATATTTATTTATATTTACCTAAATTGACTAGAGCTGCTCTTTGAACGTTCGGTACTGAACCTTTCCACAAACCACGTACACCACCAGATTTAACAATTTTTTGAAAAGCATCGTGAGCTCCTGATACTCTTTGAGGTAAACCCAAAAGTCTCCTAAAAACCAGTATGATGTAAACACATCTGAAGACTACATATTATGTTACAATTACCTTTTGCCTTCCATTTGGACATGAACTTTGACTAAATCTGCAGGCGATGCCAAAAATTGAGCCAAAGCTCCTGCAGATACACCACCTGGATCAAAAACTAGTTGTAGATAAAAATCTACAATATACCAACCAGTTGTCGACAACTAGATCTATTACCTAAAGCGCTTTTCCAAACAGGAAAAGTCTTTCCATCAGCATTCTTCTTCAACACTTTGTCCCTTAAGGTTTCGTAAGTCACCATTCGGACACCAGAATATATCACATGTCTGTACAAAGCGGGTGCTACGCCCCTCCAAAGGGCTGTTGGGCCTTCTTCTCGTATTATGCCAGTGGCAGTTGATAGCATTCCACGATATTTAATCTGGAAATAAAAATATAAGTTTGAAATTGCGGAAAAATATGGAAAATAAAGATAGTCTTACATTGGCAGTGGTCAGTTTGCTGGCGGCTTCGCCTTGAATTTGGAGGCGAGTTTTGGTCAAATCCAAAGGATAGGTTGCTGAAAAAGTAAAAAAACATATTTATATTAAAAAATGACTTGTTTGGGTCTTATATATTATTTAAATTAAGTCTTGGTAAGGCCGCTGAGACATTTTCAAAACAACTGGAAAACTTTCAAAAGGGCAAGGTTACCATCGATAAAACATAGATTGCATCAAATTATTGAACGATTCCTAATATATTATATAATCACTAATACACATAATTATCATAGTAATTAACAAAATAATTTATTTTAAATAAAATCTTGTTAGGAGTTTTCTATCTGAATGAACTCGTACTGAGCCAAAAAATTGTGGATAATCAACCTCACACAATTTAATCTTTAATGTCGAGTTTCGAGTATACCATGTAGCTTTAGGAGCTTTTGCTGTTAGAAAAAGTTGTAGATTATTTAATTTTGCACAAATTTGCCGAATATTTTATTTATTTTACATAAACCATTCAAAAGTTACAAATGATACAATAAATAAATGCACAATAAAGTTGACCTAGAGCGAATTAAAAATCGCAAGTAATTTATTTTAAAATATAATTATTTTTGCTTAATTAGACAATATATATGAATGTTATAAATTTATATATATATATATATATATATATACATATTTATATATGGTTCGTGAATGAGTCATTGAAATTCCAAGCAACTATGAAAGTGTAAAAATATTTCTTAAAACCGGTCAGGCTATTATTTAACCGATTATATATATATATATATATATATATATATATATATATATATATATATATATATATATATATATATATATATTATATTTTATTAAATTAAAATGTATAATAAATTTATCTAGGAACTTTTGTTGTAAGAAAAAGTTGAAAATTATTCAATTTTTAACTAAGACTTCAAACAAGCTTTTTTATTTGATAATTTAAACAAGTGACTGAAATATTTTAGGACTTAATTTATACAAATTTGAAATCATATAAAGATGAAATCATAATTTATCATTTTAATAGAAAAATATATCAGAATCCCATACGTTATCAGATCCGTCAGTTTTCAAGAAATTCGTAATACTTTCTATTAATTCAAGATAAAATTTTATCAAATAATATTGATTTTATCAAACATATTAGTTTAAAAAATAAAATTTGTATGTATAAATAATATATAATAGGGCAACTAGTAAAATTATTAATATAAAATTAATGAATATATTAAACTAAACATGACATTTTCTATATTCGGCTTGGTTTTGTTAATATGTTATCAATATACATATATAAAATGTTATATCGTTGAAAAGATAATAAAATTATCTACGTGTTCATTTAGGAAACAATCTCGAAACAAGATTATTTAAAAATTTGATGTGAACTTTGAAAATCAATAAATTTTACAAACTGGAAAATGAAGAACATCCGGGCGACTTTAGTCACTTTAGGAAACGCACGGGAATTAACATTCATTTATTAAATTATTAATAACTTCTAAACTATTTGTCGGATAAAAATAGTGTATATGGCTAATTTGTACAAAATTAAATAACTAATAACTTTGTCTAACAACAAAAGACTCTACAGCAACCCGGTATACTCTAAAATTGAAATTGAAAATTTGCAAATCGATTTAACTCTCACATGGCTCAGGATTAATATGACTGTGGTACAAATATTCGTTGCATCGTTTGTAACTTTTAAAATTATAGTTATAGTAAATAAATAGTATATTTGGCAAATTTGTACAAAATTGAATAATCCATGATATTGTCTAACATTATAATGCTCTACAACAACTTTGTATACTTTAAAATTGCAACTAATAAAAATCAAATTATTAGAGACCTACAGAGGAGGTACAATTATTCATTGCATCGCTTATAACTTAAAATATTTGTGGTAAACAAATAGTATATTTGGCAAATTTGTACATAATTGAATAATTTGTAATATTGTCTTATATTATAATACTCTACAACAACTCGTTATACTTTAAAATTGGATTTGAAACTTTGCAAATTTATTGGACGCTATGGCTTACTAATCCTTATCATTTTTAAGACAAACAATGGGCGCAAATATTTGTTGCATCGTTTGTAACTTTTAAAATATTTGTGCAATATAAATAGTATATATAGGAAATTTGTACAAAATTAAATAATCTACAGTATTGTCTAACATCATAATACTCTACAATTACTAGAAGTACCCTTAACGTGGCTTAAAATCAGGCCTAAATAAATCCATTACCTTAATAATAGGTAATTTCTATTTTTTCCCAATGGCACAACAATTATTTCCTTAAGGCTTTTCGAAATCTATTTCGATCCAATCCATCTGGTCTTTTAAATGAAATCTCGATTTAAAACCAATGTAAACATTACCAGTAAAATCGATGTTAGTTAAGAAGTTTCTGTTTAACTAACAACGAACTATTAATAGCAAAACGCGGACTATTTTCGCTGTGTTCGCTTTTAAAATTTAGACTTTGTAAACAGATATTCGCAAAATTGGGCCATTTATTAGTCGGTAATAAAATATATATAAATAATCCATATGTTTGTTTTTTAAAAGTTTCAAAATTTAAATTTTATAAGCAGCCATACGGCAAAGACTTAAGGCTTAAGCGTTGTAACAAGAAATTCTATCTCCTCTAGTAATTTGATTTTATAATTTTTATTTGCAATTTTAGAGTATTATAATGTTAGACAATATTGCAGATTTTTTAATTTTAAACAAATTTGCTAAATACACAAAATATATTGCACAAATAGTTTAAAAGTTATAAACAATATAACGAAAAAGTGCACCTCCTCTATATGCCTTAAAAGTTGTGAGCGTTATTAGGGCGGCTTTAAATTTTTGCAATTTTTTTAATTACAATTTTAAAGTATACAGAGTTGTTATAGAGCATTATAATGTTAAACAATATTGTAGATTATTGATTTTTGAACAAATTTCCTATATATACTATTTATATTGCACAAATAGTTTAAAAGTTATAAACAATATAACGAAAAAATGCACCTCCTCTATATGCCTTAAGAATTGTGAGCGTTCATAACATGTGGCATTAATTTGATTTTATGATTTTAATTTACAATTTCAAAGTATACCGAGTTGTTGTAGAGCTTTATAATGTTAGACAATGTTGAAAGTTATTTAATTTTGAACAAATTTCTCAAACACACAAATTATATTGCAACAGATTCAAAGTTATTAAGGATGCATCAAATATTTGCGCCCATCGTTTGCTTTAAAAAATGATAAGGATTAGTAAACCGTAGCGTCAAATTGATTTGTAACATTTCAAATCCAATTTTAAAGTATACCGAGTTGTATAATATTAGACAATGTTATAGATAATTCAATTTCTCATATCATTAACATCAAACAACCTGTTCAAAAGTTACAAGAGATTTAATAAATAAAAGTAACAAAAACACCAGAAGTCAGAAATCTATGTAGTTTTTACTGATTTTTCAAAGTGGATTATTTTGAGTTTGAAATAAATATTTTTTTGAAATTAGTTTACCTATTTCTGCAATACTGGCAGCCACTACAGACACCATATAAGTGCACCACATGGTGTCAGCCCAATTGTAGGGCTTCAGCTGTTTAAATTCCTCAGCCATTGCTCTTCTTTAGGAGCCCTAAAAATTAATAATATAATATATAAATAATATAAAAAATAGTATATAATATAATATAAATAAATTAATTATTATGGTGTTAAAATTACAAACAATAGTGTGATATAAGTAATAATTAAGTAATACAGAAAAGATACAAGTGTCAATATAAAAATATAATTAAGATTTTAATCAATAAAAATGTTTCCTACAAAGTTGTTCAGAATTTTATCATCTATAAATATCTCGAAGACTGAATTTAGATATTTTTATCGGTTTTGGAATTATAAATAAAAATGTATGAAAATGTCCAGACGTGCCGAGTTCGCAAGGACAAAGTCTTGCCAATTCAAAATTTTAGTATGAAAAAATCTTAAAATTGTTTATCTTTAGAATTTCTAATATTGTAGAAAATGTTGTTAATAAATAAACAAATTATCGTTAAAATTCAGAAAAATCTTATTGAATTATTTTCATCAATATAATTTAGTTTCAAAATATATAAAAATATTATAAAAATTCAAAACACTGGAAGTTTCATTTAAATTTTAAAAATTGGAAAATGTTGAATAAATTTAAATTTTCAAGAATATATATTTATATATATATATATATATATATATATATATATATATATATATATAAATATATACTTATATATTAAAAAATAAATATTTATTTTATTACTAATACATTGATTATCGAGTTTTCTCCAATCTCCTGTTAATCTATTTGAATATGAGAAATGTGATAAAATTTTATCTTTGATAAAGATATTATTATATATGTTTAGTCATAATTTTAAGACTAATTCATACAGAATTTAAAAGGGTATTTAGAAATTTTATCGAGAAACAAATTCTTAAAAGTAAATTTTACTAAAACATTGAATTTTGAAATAATGATGTATACTATTTTGTAAATAAATTAAGATGAAAGTTACAACTGTTAAGTAAAAATTCAAAATTTCATTAAAAATCTGTCTTTTTTCTCTATATATACTTATATATAAATTATTTATATATAAAAATAAACAATTTTTAAGACTTTAAAAAACTGTTTATTAAAAATTTTTAATACCAAAATTTAAAATTAGATTTGTTGCCTCATCGTTAATGTGAACCTAGCGTTTTTAACATTTTTATTTATAATTCCAAAACCGATAAAAATATCTAAAATCAGTCTTTGAGAAACTTATTGAATATTAAATTCTAACTAACTTTTTCTAATATTACAACTTTGTAGGAAGCATTTTTATTGATTAAAAATTCTATTGAATTTGACTTCAACAAATAATTTTCTTATATTTTTTCTCTATTATATTATGTAATATTTTCTGATACTTGGTAAGTAATTTTTAAAAAATTTTAGAATGATAAAAAATATTAAATCAAAATTTATAATACAAAGTTATAACTGTATTTTTTATAATTTATATGTAATGCAATTTTTTTCATATATTTTTCTTGTATTTATTACATAATTTGGAATGTGTTCTTCCTTGCATGTACTACTTCTTTGTATGAATGATGACACAAATCAAGTGTCGAAACGTGTATAAATAAAAAAGAATAGTCAATACTATTTTTTTTAACTTCCCGTAGGGTAAGTTATAGTAATCGCAAAAAAATCAAAAATGAAAATTTTTATATATCTTTACGTTTCAGAGGTTTCTGAATATTTTGGCATACCTTAGAAAAAATGGATGTATGTGTGTGTGTGTGGTGTGTGTGTATGTATGTATGTATGTATGTATGTATGTATGTATGTATGTTTGTACGTGTGTGTATGTATGTGCGGATACAAATTTCGTCGACGATTTCGGGAACACGGATCAACCGATTTGAATAATTCAAAAAACATTCAATTCGCATTGATAAGGAGACGTGCTGATTAGTTTTTGGCGAAGGCAGGTCTAGCCGTTCCGAAGATACGGGGCAAAAAGTGCCGAAAACGGTAACTCAGTTTTTAAGAGAACCGAGCATTCGATTTGAATAATTCAAAAAACATTTCACTTGTATTGACAAGGTGAATAATCGATAAAATTTTCATGATGGTAGGTCTAGCGGTTTCGGAGATATGGAGGAAAAAGTAAAAAAATGAGCCATTTGGCGGTCAAAAATGATCATTAGACATATGCACATCAAATTATCAGATATTTTATAGAGATTTTAACAATCAGTATACATTTTGTTAACATTCCTATGGGTTCCGTACCAATGCTTATGCGTTAGACAGCGACGCGGCGCTTACGCGCTTTATATTTTGTCCTTATGCAGTTAAAGCAGTACGATTGCTTTGAAAAAAAAGTTCAGATCTTCCACAATATGTCAAAATAAAGAAAAAAAAATTTTTTTTCAAAAAAAAAAAAATTTAAAAAAATTTAAAAAAAAAAAATTTTTTTTTTTTCAAAAAAAAAATAATTTTTTGTTCAATTTATAGTTTCTCAAAAATCTTATTTTTTCAAAGTAAATTTTTTTCAAAAATGTTAATCGTTTTTAAAAAAATAATAATTTTTGGTACGGGAAGTTCCAGCAATTTGCCTTAAGGCACGATGCCTTAATTGCCTTAAGACAGAATTCCACTTACAGCTAGTTAATTTGATGAGTTTATATCAAATGTATATATGTATATATATTATATATATATATATATATATACATATATATTTAATTATTTATTTATTGCTAAAAATGATAAATCGTATCACGTCACAAATGTGACGTATTTCCAACGTCATAACCTTATTAAGAAAATGCAAAGCATTAAATAACAACAAATAAAAACTTAAAACAAATATACAAATACAAATTCCAATCATATTTAAAATACTCAAAACAATAAATAATAATATTATAAATTATTAACAAACAATATCGAACACAATTTGACAACATAACCTCTCAAATAAAACAAATACCACATACCTGCTGCTAAATAAATAAAAAACAGTATCTATCCATTAAAAACACCACTGAAACAAATTTAAAACACTTTATAAATTTATTTATTATTCTAAACAACAGTTGTTTATTAATTATTTAAATCATTAATTTAAGTGTCACAACAAAGGAATGTTAAACATTAAATATAAAAAGATTAAAAAGAATTTAACTATTCAAGTGACATGCATTATTTTAAAAAGACTAATAATGAAATGGCGTGAAATCGAGGAATTTGTTGGATTTTTCGAATATTTCATAATATTCATAGTAAATAGTACAAATCGTGGTATTTTTATCAGAATTTTTGGTCTACGCATAATCGGATTAGAGGAAAGGCCGGGGACCGGCTTATTCAAAAATGAGAATACATAATAATTAATAAAAATTAAATACTTACTCTCAGTATATTTGGTAAAATTTTTGTGAGCTTTTCTGTACTGATGGAATTGAGAATTATCCTTGCATCAATTTGGTCTTTTGCAATCGCCATTGAACAATTGTTAGTTTTTATAAATCCATTTTCTATTATCCTCATATTAAAAAGTATAACTTCTTTGGTGTAGAAGGGCTATTTTATATATTAAATACAAAAATCAAACATAACACACATTATTTCTAGAACTTTTTCTTCAGAAAGTTAATAAGAACAAATGTCAGTTACCAAATATCAGTTACAATCCGCCATTTTGTCTAATGACGCTTTTGCCAACAAAAATAGCTAAAATAAATATACAAATTTTCGAAATTATTTCTCTTAATTATCTACAATAGTAATTATCTATAACTGTAAATATGCCTATCACTAACAGAAGAAGTTTAGATATTAAAAATATTATATTTTAACAATTTTGTTCAACAAATTTGAAATTTTCAAAGCACATTAATTCCACGTTGGCAACACCAACGTTTTTCCAATTTACTAATAAATTTTATATTGTATAGACTTAATTAATTATTTAGCTATTCATCAATACGAGTTCAATAACAGAAAAAGTCTAGTTAATAAAAATATTATATTTTATTAATTTTGTTGAATAAATTTGAAATTTCCAAAGCGCACCAATTCCACGTTGGCAACCAATTTTTCAAATTTAGTAAAAAATTATATATTAGATATTCATCAATACGAGTTTAATAATAGAAGTTGTTAGATAATAAAAATATTATATTATAATAATTTAATCAACCAAAAATGAAATTTCCAAAGCACGCCAATTCCACGTTAGCAACACAGTTTTTCAAATTTAGTAAAAAATTATATGTTGTATAGACTTAATTAATTATTTAGTTATTCATCAATAACAGAAGAAGCCTAGTTAATCAAAATATTATATTTTAACCATTTTTTATGCAAATTTGAAAATTTCAAAACACACCAATTTCACGTTGGCAACACAGTTTTTCAAATTTACAAAAAAAATATATGCTGACATAGTAAAATATTGTAATTAAATTATTTAGTTATTCACTTATACGAGGTGAATAACAGAAGAAGTTTAGTTAATAAAAATATTATATTATAACAATTTATTTAATAAAATTTGACATTTTTGAAGCATATCCGGTTTACTCAGATGCTAGTAACACTATTTTTTAAATTTACAAAAATATTATAAGCTGTTTTTCAGTCACAGTAAATTATTGTAGTTTAATTATTTAACTAGTCATTAGTTCGTGTGTAATATAATAAAAATATTTTTTGGAAATATTATATTTAAATAATTTATTTAAAAAAAAATAGACAAGTTCACACCTATTACTTAGATGTTGGTAGCACAGTTTTTCAAGTTCACCCGGAAGTTATTAAGTTTAACTTGTTATTAAAAATGTATTGAAGTAACGTATTCAACTGATTATTATTAATATTTATTATTTATCTAAATAAAGAATAAAAAATAAAAATGTGATATAATATTAAAATACACGTAAGTTTCATTTATTACTATATTTCCACCAACCCCGTATATTATCTTGTAGTGGGGCGAATCAAATATGGCCTCCATGGGTGTTGTGAACATTAACATTTCTTAGCAACTATTTGACGTATCACCTATGTGTTTGTCAAATGATGGATTTCGCGACAGTTTTTTAAACAAACCAGAATTGTTTTCAATTATTTGAACAAACAATCACAGTTAATTGTTGGAAGTGCAAAAAGTTGTTCCACTCTCGGTGGAATTGTGGTGTTTCGTAATAGCCGAGTGGAAACTATTTCTGGAATAAAATTGTGGATTTAGGATTTAGGATAATGGAGGCGGTGGCTAAACACGATTTCAATGCTACGGCAGATGATGAGCTCAGTTTTAGGAAGTCCCAAGTTCTTAAGGTGGAGTATTTTGGTTATATTAGGTGTACGACTTTGGTTCTGTCATTGGTAAAGGACTTGTATTGTCAAAACGGCGGACACAAAATTGTACACCTAAGAATTAACATTTATATATATTTTAAATCCCATATCATACAACAAACTTACATACATACAATTACGTATAAATTTTTATTAGTGTTGAATAAATTTCGAAAGATTTATGAAACAGTAAAAAATGTCTGCAACGTAACGTAAGGTTAGGTTAGTGCCTAATTTTTCTTGTAATTGCCAAATAAATACGATAATATAAGTCTGTAGTCACTATTGCAATCGACAAGCACAAATAAAGCTTAAAAATCACTATTGATATAATATAAGTCATATAATAGTTCGCAAAAAGCAAAGTTACATAGATTTTAAATGTGAAATTATCAATGAACTGTGGAGGTGATATAATTCATCAAATAGTTCTCAAAAAGCTTGAAGCAATGTGACACAAGTAAAATCACCATTGTAGATGTGAATAATAGTAAATATATACATTATAATGTGTCGCTTGCACAAATATTGATAAATAGGAACTGTCGTGGTAATATTACTCATAAATTAGTCCTCAAAATGCTTAAAATAGTCACACGATGTTTAAATACACATTTATACACTCATTCATATTTTAGAAGTAAAATTATCAACATAGATATTAATGGTTGTAATATTTACAATAAAATAAGTGACATTATCGAATGAGACCTGTCTATCTAATATAATTCATTCAGTTACGAAAAGCTTGTAAAAAAGCTCACACAAGCTCTAGAGACACATTAACGTATAATTTGCAGACTAACACATTTTAAAAGTGAAATTATTTTAGCTTAAGTCAATATTTACAATAATAATTGTCTGTAAAACAATTACAGTTCAGTAGAGACTGTCAAGGTAATATAAATTATAAAATTGTTTCAAAAAGCAATAAATTTTCATAAAATCTAGCTGCTAGGAATAAAAATAACGTTGTAATTGTTATATATTGCCAGAATAATTTCTTGGAAAGATATTTATAATTCAAAAGTTAGTCGCATAAACAATTTGAATGAATAATGAAAAATATTAAATGGTAAATACGCACTATAATGATTTTTGTGTCTCAAAACGTTTATGAATTTTTATAGAATCAAAGAAAAATGTTTTACTCATTTATGTTGGATAGATAGTACACTTGTAATACGAAAAATAAAATTAGAACTTGCAAGAAGTGTAGTTATTTGTAAAAAACTTTGTTTCAATACATTTTATGCATTTATCACAGTCTAACAAATTTTATAATTCGATAAGAATTAATATTTACAATAACACTGAACTTTTACTAAATCCTTGTTTATTCCATTTTGTTAAACAATTACGAATTACATTTGTTGTTTGATCAATAAATCAATTTAAAATTATTTATGATTACAAGTTAATATATTTATATAATTATAATACTATTTATTCTTTTTTTTACAGATATTAAATATGGAAGATGATGTTAATTGGTATAGAGCTGAATTGGATGGTCGCGAAGGCTTAATACCCAGTAATTACATTGAAATGAAAAACCACGAGTAAGTATAACTTTACATATATATATATATATATATATATATATATATATATATATATATTTATAAGTTACCTAATTCAATTTCATTTCCTGGTTTCATGTTTATCTCAAAGCTTCTAATTAGACTTATTAACTTCCATTATTTTGTTTATGACAAAGCCAAACAAAACAATTATATTTGTTTCAGCTGGTACTATGGAAGAATTACAAGAGCAGATGCTGAGAAATTATTATCAAACAAACACGAAGGAGGTTTCCTTATCAGAATAAGTGAATCCAGTCCTGGAGACTTTTCTTTGTCAGTAAAGTAAGTTGTTTAATTATTTAATTGAATATTACTTTCTAAATTTTTTTTGACCGTGTTCAATATTTGTTGCAAAAATTACTTCAGGGGTTTTTCAAATAATTTTACAAGATGGGAGACAATTTTCATAGATCAAATTTAAAGATTTCGGACAGTTTGGAACATTTTGAGACAATTTGGAATATTTTGAGACTATTTGGAACTTTTTGAGACAACTGAAAACTTTTTGAGACAACTGGGAACTTTTTGAGACAATTTGCAACATTTTGAGTCGATTTGCAACATTTTGAGACGATTTGCAACATTTCGAGACGTTTGAGAAACATTACGAGACGTTTGAGAAACATTTCGAGACTTTTGTGAACATTTCGAGACGTTTGTAAACATTTCGAGACGTTTGTGAACATTTTGAGACGTTTGAGAACATTTTGAGACAATTGATAAACATTTAGAGACGTTGAAGAACCTTTAGAGACGTTGGAGAACCTTTAGAGACGTTGGAGAACCTTTAGAGACGTTGGAGAACCTTTAGAGACGTTGGAGAACCTTTAGAGACGTTGGAGAACCTTTAGAGACGTTGGAGAACCTTTAGAGACGTTGGAGAACCTTTAGAGACGTTGGAGAACCTTTAGAGACGTTGGAGAACCTTTAGAGACGTTGGAGAACCTTTAGAGACGTTGGAGAACCTTTAGAGACGTTTGAGAACATTTTGAGATGTTGGAGAACATTTCGAGGTGTTTGAAAACATTTTGTAACAATTTTCATCATTTTGAGACAATTGAGAACATTTCGAGACGTTTGGGAACATTTTGAGATGATTTGGAACATTTCGAGACGTTTGAGAACATTTCGAGACGTTTGAGAACATTTCGAGACAATTTGCAAAATTTCGAGACAATTTGGAACATTTCGAGACAATTTGGAACATTTCGAGACGTTTGAGAACATTTCCAGATAATTTGGAACATTTGGAGACAATTTGCAACATTTAGAGACGTTTGAGAATATTTCGAGACAATTTGCAACATTTCGAGACGTTTGAGAATATTTCGAGACAATTTGCAACATTTCTAGACGTTTGAGAACATTTGGAGACGTTTGAGAATATTTCGAGACGTTTGAGAATATTTTGAGACTATTTGCAAAATTTGGAGACAATTGAGAAACATTTCGAGACTTTGGAGAACATTTCGAGACGTTGGAGAACATTTCGAGACGTTTGAGAACATTTCGAGATAATTGAGAACATTTTGAAGCAGTTTGCAATATTTTGAGACGATTTGGAATATTTCGAGACGTTTGAGAACATTTTAAGATATTTTGGAACATGTTTAGACTAACTACAACATTTTTGGATTAACCACAACATTTTTTAGACTAACCACAACATTTTCAAACCATCTACAAATTTTCTGTGGAACTTGCAACAATCAATCTACACCAACTTTGTATTTTCAATATTTCTTATGGACCTCTTTACCAATAATTCACCATCAATTACTATTTCTCTTCAGATGTTCAGATGGGGTCCAACATTTCAAAGTCCTCCGAGATGCACAAGGCAAATTCTTTTTGTGGGTAGTGAAATTCTCATCACTAAACGAATTAGTCGAGTACCACAGAGCTGCCAGTGTCAGTCGTTCTCAAGATGTTAAATTGAGGGACATGACACCAGAGGAAGTACTCGTTCAGGCTTTGTATGATTTTGCACCGCAGGAGGCTGGTGAACTGGAATTCAGACGGGGGGACGTGATAACGGTCAGTGGAAACAGATAATAATATTTTGTTTATATATAATTGAAATAACTAATTATTTATGTGTAAGTGCATGTTAAATATTATTTAGATGATTTTCTTCGTGTAAGACTTCTTGCTACAGAACGTTACTATAGTTTACAATTTAGACGTAGACCTGACAATTTTTTTTGTCTCTCAGGTGACAGACAGATCTGACCAAAACTGGTGGCAAGGAGAAATTGGCAACCGCAAAGGACTCTTCCCTGCCACTTACGTTACACCATACCACTCGTAAAATCATTAGTGATAAACGACATATATACATTTATATATATATATATACATATATATATATATATATATACAACATATACATCATATTATTTTGTCTATGGCTAATATGAATTTAATAATATTAGATGCCGACTTTTTATAAAACTGTGGATATACACCATCGTAAATGTTTCCGCTTACTTTTATATAGATATTTACAGGAACACCACTCATATTTCTGATATTATATTATCTAGGGCTGTCTGTCGCGAATTATATGTAAATTTTATCTGTCCCGGACCAAATATAAATATTTTTCACCTTTAAAATTATACAATAAGCATTTGGTTGTAAATAGATCTGGGAAGTTTTAATATCTGAGACTTGTTAGACAATCTTTGTTGAATTTTTAAGGTTCCTTTATCAGTTCCTATTCGATGGCCCTATTATTGTAAATGAAACATCAATTGCTTATATTAGGATATGGGATTATTGTATAAATTTCGTATCGCGCTCAAGCTTACTGTATTAGTTATTAAAAAAAGGAAAATATTTTGTAAGTTTAAAAAATAGTGACATGTGTATATGTTACTGCAGTTTTTTATGTGCTGAGCAAAATAACACAAGTTTTTGGAGATATGTGCAATGTTTATGATTCGGACATATTAATTTTTTGTAATTAAGCTAAATTTTTTAGAATTAAAAAGGACTTAACAATATTTTTAATCTTTGTACTACCTATGTTAATACAAACACCATTTCTGAGGATGAGAAATGTACAAATTGATTAAAATAAACACATTATCTAGAAAAATGGTTGTAATCATTTTGAAAAAGATAGATGTAAAAGGATTTATGTAGGTAGTACTTTAAACTAACAAAATAAAAACATAAATGCAAAAAACTCCTTGCTAATTTAAATTTAAAAGTATTAATATTTGTGTAAAAGGCTACAAGACTAACAAGCAACTGTTATTTCAGCCATAAAATTAATTTAAAACAAATTAAAATTGTTTCCCTTATGAAATATAATTAAAAACAAATACTGGATTCGTATTCAGCTTTTTGGAGCTCTATTCATTGATATGTCACATGCTAATTATAGTTAAATTTGTCTATTGGCAAGTTGCTATGTTTTCACTTAATTTAGCTACAAATTCAGATTTATTACTTTATTTTAAAATATAAATAGTGAATAGATTTGTAGAATCATGCTCTCCAAGATCTGTTTGATGGTTTGTCACATACCAAAAGCTAAGAAAAGCAACCAGCAAAATTATGTCCTCATTTGATAAAATTAATTAAAATTGATATTAAATTCGTGTTCAGCTCTTCGATATTTATTTTTTGATATTTCACATAATAAATGCAGTTCGAGTTTTGCCAATGGCCAAGTTGCTGTTCTTTTACTTAATTGAATCACAAATTTTGTTGATGAACTAACTAAAATTACTGAAATAGATTAGAATTAACTAAAATTACTGAATTAGATCTCCCTATCTAACCAAAAAGTAGTGCTTTCATATGATATTTGTAAGTTATTTGACAAAAACCAAAAAAATGTCCCGAATTTTCTATTAAATGCTGAAGAATATAAAAGATCGAATTCAAAGTCGTTTTATTCCAAATTATTATATCGGAGAGTATATAAGTGTTGGCATGCAATCGAAGTAAATTTTATCTAGTTTTTTCCTATCTAACCGTAAAGGGGTGCTTTCATATGATATTTGTAAGTTATTTTACAAAAACCAAAAAATTGTCCCGAATTTTTTATTAAATGCTGAAGAATATGAAAGATCGAATTCAAAGTCGTTTTATGCCAATTTTTTATTCCAAATAACTGTTGGCATGGAATCGTAGTAAGTTTTATCTAGTTCTAGGCATATCGTCTTTTTGCCTATTGGCAAGTTGCGTAATAATTTTATACTATAAAGCCTAAAAAGTTAACTTTTTTCAATATCATCCTATTCCAATTTATTTCCTATTCGACTTATTGATACTAAATTTGTTATTGATTTTCATTCAAATATATTTAATATAGAAATTTATTAAAAATAATTTAAATTCAGCTAATTTCAGTCTCTATTAAATGTTTACGTGTAAGTCTGTACACATATCTACTACGGGATTTATTTTAGAATAACATTAGAAAAGCAAGTATCTAGTAAAATCTTAATAATAAACCTTTTTAATTAATAAATCTTTTGCAAAACCTTAAAAAAAATCATAGAGGGATAAATATTTTAAAAGTTAAAATCATCAAGTTAATTATAATCAAAAATTAATTAATTTAATATTAAGACTAGATATTTGAAATTATTTTAATTTATATACATTACTAAAAAAAATTAGTACAAAATATTTGGTGTATTTACGTGCGTTCTGCCTCAAATTAATTTTTTTGCATATTTTTTTTTATTAATTATTCGAACAAGTACGTGTAATTTGTATAATAAATATTTTGCATTATGCAATTGAAAGAATCTTTAACGAATGTCCAATAAGTGATTTTGTACGTAATAGGTTGCATTGCACGTTAACATTTTCTTCGGCATGTTTATATAATTTATATATATATATATATATATATATATATATACATAAATAAAGCTGGAATTTTGTCCTGAAATCTAATGAAAAATATCATTCATATGAATTGTTGGAAATAATTACAAGAGTCGATCTCATTACCAAATTTGACTTCAATTTTAATTCACAGTCTTCAATTTTATTTTATCCTATTATTAACTATAAGGTCATGTTTACGAATACATCCTACAAAAATCGGTTAAAATTGATATAAAACTGTCGCCACAACTTAAAAAGTTGATAAATTTTTATTCTCATTGATTGACTCGATTTTATTTATATACATATTGGGTAGTCTTTAGAACTTGCTTTAAGCTTTTTAAATTTTGACTTTTTTCTCTGATACATTAAGTTGCACATAACAGACAATTTGGAAAAAAATGCCAAGTCAGTCATATGTGTGAAGTAAAAAATAGATTTGCACGAAATTTTGGCATAAAAATTGTTTTCTTTAATACTTGAAGTTTCTTGGTGTCATTTTCAACTAACTAATTTATATAATAAAGTTACCATGGCCCATGGGATTTATTTTTGATATTATCGTGACCTTTAGCGTGTTTTGAAAAAAAAAATATCCTAAATTTTCATGATATCCTCAATTTTAATAAAATGCCACTTACATCTTTTTACTAAATCTATCAATTTGTTTCAAAAATACACCATCTCGAGTACTTTCCTAGTAAAACAATCAGTCCTACTTTGATTGATTGTTTTTATTTTATTTAAAAAAATAAATTGAGTTGAATTACACTTTTAAATGTGATTTTTAAGAGAATCGCAATGCATAAGTTTAAATAAATGCACGTTTTTCTGAATTGTAATTTGAATTATGAACGCTGAGCAATATTAAGTTTAAGACTTTTGGAAATATTTCCAGCATAGTATAGAATGATATAAAATTATTATTAACTTCCCGAAGGAGAAGTTTATGTTTTCATCAAAAAATCCGATTCGCTAATTTTATGTTTTCTCGACGTTTCAAGCCATTCTGAATCGAATGAGACCAAATTTGGAAAAAGTATGTGTGTGTGTGTGTGTGTGTGTGTGTGTGTGTGTGTGTGTGTGTGTGCGTGTGCACCAACAGATTTTTTGCCGTAAATCGCCGTTTTCTCAAAAACGGCTGGACCGATTTCAAAAATTTAAAAGCCATTCGATGTATTTCGATGAGGACTATTGTTTGACAGTTTTGTGCGACGATCGGCCAAACCGTTTCTTCGTAAATAGCAGAGAAGTGAAAACTCTTTCGTCCACGTTTTAGCCCGCAGTTATGAATCGATTTTGAAAATTCAAAAATCGTTCGAAAGATATTGGTTGGGAATCGTGCTGATTAGTTTTTGGTAGAGATCGGCCGGGCCGTTTTCTTGTAATAAAGTTTTTAAAAAAAAAATTTCGACGATTTTTATGATTATTTTTTTGACGATAGATACCATAGTCTTCTAGATCATACTAAAATATTACGGCCCTACGACAACTGGTTCAGCTTTAAAAATTCGTCAAAGTTTGCAAAAATCAGTATGGTCTTTTTGGCATTTGTCAAAATTAGACTTTTGATCGACGTTTTCTCAAAAACGCCTGAACCGATTTTAGAAATTTAAAAGCCATTTGATGTATTTCGGTGAGGACTATCGTTTGTCAGTTTTGTGCAACGATCTGCCAAGCCGTTTCTTTGTAATTTGAAAAAAAGTGTTGAACTTTTCGTCCACATTTAAGCTCATCCTACCGAACCGATTTTGAAAAATCAAAAACTGTTCGAAAGATATCATTTGGGAATGATGCTGATTAATTTTAGGTAAAAATCTACCGAGCCGTTTTCTTGTAATTAAATGTTGAAAAAAAGTGTTAAATTTTCGTCCACATTTAAGCTTATCCTACCGAACCGATTTTGAAAAATCAAAAACTGTTCGAAAGATATCATTTGGGAATGATGCTGATTAATTTTAGGTGAAAATCTACCGAGCCGTTTTCTTGTAATTAAATGTTAAAAAAAAGTGTTAAATTTTCGTCCACATTTAAGCTTATCCTACCGAACCGATTTTGAAAAATCAAAAACTGTTCGAAAGATATTAGTTGGGAATGATGCTGATCAATTTTGGGTGAAAATTTACCGAGCCGTTTTCTTGTAATTAACTGTTGAAAAAAAGTGTTAAATTTTCGTCCACATTTAAGCTTATCCTACCGAACCGATTTTAAAAAATCAAAAACTGTTCGAAAGATATTAGTTGGGAATTATGCTGATTAATTTTAGGTGAAAATCTACCGAGCCGTTTTCTTGTAATTAAATGTTGAAAAAAAGTGTTAAATTTTCGTCCACATTTAAGCTTATCCTACCGAACCGATTTTGAAAAATCAAAAACTGTTCGAAAGATATCATTTGGGAATGATGCTGATTAATTTTAGGTGAAAATCTACCGAGCCGTTTTCTTGTAATTAACTGTTAAAAAAAAATTTAAGCCTTTTTTCATGGAACTTTTTTTG